ATCAGAAGTTGGGGATGGGAGAGGAGTCCGATGGGAGATGGCGATAAGTTTTTTTTTTTTTGGTTTTCTTGTAATATGTCTAATTCATTAAAGGCAACTTTGACTTTAACCATATTTTTGATTAAAAATAAATCAAAAGAATTAAAATGTTTATAAGAAGTTTATTGGGTTAAAAGTTTTTTTTAGGGTTGTTTTGAGTTACGTTCCCTCCTTTTCTCCATTCTCTCGAAATTCGGAAAGATGAAGAGTTGTCCTTCGATCTTCAATCCGGTCATCAACCCACCGCCGCAGCGAAAGCGAAAGCTTGAGACTCCGGTCTGTTCTCAACCTTCACCCTCAGCCGAAGAATCCTCCTCCCTCCGATCTGTGATCTTGGATCCGGCCAACGATCCGCCGCAGCAAAAGCAGAAGCTCGAAACTTTGGTCCATTCTCCACCTTCACCCGTAGACGAAGAATCCTCCCCCAATTTGAAACTCGGGTCTTCGATCTGGGATACGGACTACGTATTCTCAACTTGCGACGATTCTCCACGTTCACCCTTAGAGGACGAATCACACGACGACTCTGTGGTAATCCTCTAATCCCTTGGCCTTTGTAATCGATTTCACAATGCTCTTTGTTAGCCCAGTTGATTTTTGATCCATATAACGATTGATTTTTTCGAGTTTGCAGGGAAATAAACCATATTCTGTCGGAGAATTCTGTAGATATGCTCCCATTGATGAGCTCGTTGCAAAGGTGGGACTCCACTGCTACAATTCTCACAAGGTAATAACTCTTGTGCTTGCTCTTATTCTTCCTTCCCAACTCACCTCCAATACACTAAATCTTCTTCCTTATCATTGTATTGTAGGAGACAAATTTACAATTCAGGGCTATAACCAAACTCTACCTATCATTTGCTGCACAATTCATTTATGATATCACTCTCGATGCTTTTGATCCACACAAGAAATCATCTTCTAGTATTATTACCTCTGTTTGGGATGCTCCTCAGCACGCCGACTTGACTTTAATCACAGATTATTCCAGCCTTGAAGGTAAACTAGCAAGCATTACAGGCTTGCTTGTATGATTTTACATGCAAGTGTTTGGGTGTTCCTGGCTATCTTGTTTCCTTTATGTCACCACCAATTTTTCTTCGTAGGATCCAATGAAAGGTCCTTCTTTTGGGACCCAAATGGTGTAGATGAGCTCTATAAAGGTGGGATGCCTAAGTGGCTAGATGATGGTGCACTTACAGGAAGCGAGTACTATGAGGTATGGCCTTAGTTTCAAACTGTGGACTGATCATTTCCATTATGTGTTCTCCTTGGTACAAGAACACCTTGTCCCACTAATGTTATATGTTTCAAAACCGCAGCTGAATGTGTCGGATTTGCTAGAGAATGACTGGCTTCATCTGTATGCTCAAGTCGGAGCATACGCCAAGTGGATGTCTAAGATGGTGAGGAAAAAGAGCCTAGAGAAGTGACTATATTCTTCTTCTTCTTTTTTTTTGGCTCTAACCAAGCTGCTTTGTTGTTTTGCAGGTTGATCATCTCCCAGTGAAGGTAAAGAAAGCAGTGGTACAAACAAAGGAAGACGTAGACTCAAGTTCCAAGTTGAAGTCAAAGTCAAGGAACGCAATCTTCTACTTAACTTTCGAGTCTCGTGGAGGTGTCGAATGCAAATGCGTAATAAGGCAAACGAGTGATGGGAAACCACAACACATGTGCCTTGAAGTCATGAATGTTGTGATGGACGAGTAGACAAATGCTGTGACCTTGGGTACACGTATATCATGTGTGTCCTTGGTTGAATGGTAAATCTTAAAATAAGTTTGAAGTTATGGAGA